CTCTGACAAGACTCCTTTGCTGTTAAGTAAAAACACTCCTTGAAGCAATGATTTTACTGGAATCCAAGTTCTGATAAATTAAATGTTCTCGTATGTAAGTAGGTACGTGTGTGTGTGTGTGTGTGTGTGTGTGTGTGTGTGTGTGTGTTGTGTGTGTGGTGTGTGTGTGTGTGTGTGTGTGTGTGTGTGTGTGTGTGTGTGTGTGTGTGTGTGTGTGTGCGTGCGTGCGTGTGCGGGGTTTAGATTAATGCATTCATGCACGTGGCCTACGAGTATTTAACATTGAATATTTTTTCACAATATGCAACGATATTTCTCTTATTCGCATCTAGAAAGTGAGGAGACTGAGAAGAGCAAAATAAAAAAAGATAAAAAGAAAGAGAAACGGACTGATTCATGAATTCGCGAACCCTTTAATTAATAACTGTCTCGCACATAAAGCAACCAATGAACGTTCCATGCGCCCCGTGGAAATATATAATCTTGTCGCAGGTACTTAAAATGGAATATAACAGATCACAGTAAGTGGAAATAAAATCAAATAGCATAACCCATTACATACACATTATAAATGATGTTTATCATTCCTTTATTTCTACACAGCGTAAATACTGCACACTTGGGATCGTGCTTTGTTTACCTTTTCATTCGTGTTTGGAACAAGTTTTCATTTCCGAATCCACTCGGGGAAATAATCTTAATTTGTTTCAGCCGGTCAATGTTTGCAATATAAATTTGATGGCGCGTGCCATTAAATAAATACACAAACACACGCGTCTAATAAATTAATGATTCGTGTATGATAAATCGGAATTTCTTATAATGCAGCGGAAAGTCACCCAATATCGACTGCCACCTGTGTAATAGGTTGCCATCTCTCTTTTTATCGTTTCGCTTTTGTCTGTTACATTCAGAACCCAATTATTGTTTCACTCAATGTTTCTTTTTTTGTTAGTACAATGGTTTTCACACTACGCATCGAATGATTTTCTTGAAATTCCGAAATTCGGTAATAAAGAATCTTTGTGTAATAAATTTCATTACTTCCGCGACAACTCCCTTAGCCTTGAATTTAGCTCACAAAAATGTGCACAGAAGCGTTGTAAATACACTGCGAGGTAAAACATCACTATAGAATGAGTTACTATTCCGGCAAAATCGTCACACAGGTAAAAAAGATGAGAGAGTTCTACCCTTCTAGTATCCCCCCATACGAAGTTATTAATAACTTTATAGTTTCGAAAACCTTCTCCTGCGTCTCCCTACATCTTGTGCCGTGAACCTTGGAACGTAAGTTTGTGTGGGTTGTATGTATGTTAACGCCATCAGTTGCATTTAACACCTAATGCATAACCAATTAAAAAATAACACTGGTCCAGCAATGGTTGGATATGGTTTGATTTTGACCTACGATATTTAGAAATCCTTAGGTGTTCACGCATTTAATTTCTAAAGAGCGCGGTTGAATTACGGGAAAGAAACTAAAAGAAGCTTTAATTCTTGGCTTAAAACAAAGCTCAGCCGAATACTCTGGAGTTCAAGAACACCGATGACAAATTTCTCTTTGGAGGCGACAAACGAACTCTGCAAGCGGATGCGTGTGTACACACAGGTATATTTACATTTATAATTGCGCGACGTCATGCGACCTTAAGCCGGAAAAAAATTCCCAGCAGCGAGGACGAAGACGCAATTTCAAAATGGTCGCACAATTGATGGGTAAATAAATAATGAGCTGAACACGCGCGAGGTTTAGGCTCGTAAGTGGCAGTGTGCTTCGCCAGGGAGTTTTTGCCGCGCCTCAAAATGCTCCGAGTTATTAAAGCAAGCAGCGAGAGGGCCAGAGCATAATGGCTACGACTCCTATCATCACCATCGGCCACGACGGCAGCTCCCCGAGGGATACGTTATTTCCCATCCATTTTTCATGTGATTATAGCCTCTAAAACATTTTATCTAAAAATAAATATCGGGACGTCGGGTGTCCGCCGGAATGGAGTTGGAACATCGACTGCGTGTGATAATGGGCAACATATCCTCCTAAATGGGACTTTTTTATCTGCAGAATATAATGGTAGTAAATTCAGCCCACTTCAGCGGATCCACGAATAGTTCATAAATAACACTAAGGTCGACCAACATATCCACAAAAGACGCTCTGTCTACTTACTGGACTATACTAAGAAAACGAGCTGGGATAGAAAGGCAAAGCATATTCATTCTTCGCTTATTTACTTACTTGCCAAGTAAAGTTATTTTGACGCATACTTTCTTGCAATGTGAAAATGTATTTAAAACAACCACTTTCACGGCGTTGGTCCAAAGTACAAAAAAGGGAGAGTACCACAGCGATGCAAATGGATATGCCTTCGTAATATACATGCACAATAATACACACACACACACACAACACATATAAAACAGAATCACACACACACACACACACACACACACACACACACACACACACACACACACACACACACACACACACACACACGCACACGCACACTCATGCACAAACACACAAACACACAACACACACACACACACACACACACGCTCACACACACGCTCTCACTCTCTCTCATGCAATTACAAACTTACACATTTATACAGAAAGTTCCGTTACAGGAAGCATCTGTCTGTCTGCCTGTGTCTCAAGCAATCATACATTTATACAAACAGTTCTATAACAGGAAATGTTTTTCAATTTTGTTGTTAAGTCAGTCAAAGCACATTCCTGACAACAAGTGTATATTAATGAGAAAAAATTGTCTTGCCAATTACAGTGATTATGGACACACCAGACCTCCTGGAAAACGATCTGGAGGCCGTTGAGTGAGGTTATTAAAAACTCATTTCCTCTATGAAGAGTCCCATATTTACCAGTGGGTAAGGCGTATCCCTACTTAGAAAATTACTGAAAATAAAATTTCATTATTTATCATCATGAATGTACTGAAATCAATGTCAAGGGGAACACATTGTACAGTTCTGCAAAATTCCTGTAATCCAGTATATTCAACAAAAGTAAATTTCAATGTTTCAGTAAAGAATAAATTCAAGGCAAAAGGCAATGACAATTCTAGAAATCTGAAGGGTACTTTGCAACTCAGAAATAAATGCCAGCGCCTTGCTCATGCAGCTTAGAGCAGTTCTCTGGGTTTTAGGAAATAAAAGCTAGCATGAAAAACTGATAATGTAAACAAACTACACATCGAGTTTGTACAGGTCTGTAATAAATATTTTAATTTGCATCATTACAGCCTACAAAATCCTCACCAAGGACAGATACCAGTAATTCATTGTAGACACACAAAAAACAATGATAAATAAAATGTTTTACTACTACAGATACAAACTCTGGCTGTAACAGCAAACAAGCATTCCCTTTGATTTTGTTATGAAAATATATTAGGAATATTAGACATTGAAAGACAGTATGCTAAAAAATAACGTCTTCAGAGCTAGAAAACACAAACAATCACACAAAGGATTAATGCTAACAGTTTTACTAACAAGGAAACAGAATTTCTATGTAAACATCTAGTTCTCAACAAGTTATAGGGTTCCAGAGGAAGGTTTTGTATTTTATAAGAGTGCTGACAATGTTGCTCTAAACTAATGAAAAGGTCATTTTACACAAAACTGTGATAAACTCCTCAAAGAGTGCTTTTCAGTTATCATCCTAGTAGTCTTTGTGCTACTCTATTAATGTTGGTTATTGTCTTCAAAAGAAAAACACTTTGAATTTCCTGTTATTTAATAACTATTTTACCATTCAACCTTCTAACAAGCCATTCAAACCCTGTATCAAAATTCTTGCCCAATGTTATATGGCTAGAATAAACATGTTCCAGCCGTTGAGTAATCAGATATACAACTGCTGCCAACTTCCTCAGGATCTATGAACAGTATAGCTACAAGTGTTCATGACTCCATTATTCATTTTGCATTTCTTATGCTACTAACTGGCAACTTCTCTATGTGCTATGCAATAGTGAATTTCCCAGCAATTCATATGCTTGCATGGAAATGTAAGGAGGTAAGAGTTTGTACCTCCTTTTTTTCCCAGATGCAGTAATGTAATTATCAAAGAGTTAAGTTCTCATACCTGGAAAAGACTGCTTAAAGGATGAGAGCATCTACATCATCTGATGGAGGCAAGAAAACTAATATATGAAACTATTCTAGGTAAATCAGTCTGCCACTTGATGTCATACCAAAATGCAAGTATGGAAGGCTTCTAGAGGTAGAAATATAATCTATGACAGGAAGATGAACATTCTTTGACAGAAGATTTGAAAAAAAATATCCTCAGCTCTTAAAAGTTGATTTCATGCAATCCAATACTGTTTACAGATGGTGCTGCTGCAACTGCTAAGCCAAACAAATGGGAAAACAGAATTTATAATATGCCTTCAGCTAAGTGTAAGAAAGTTATTTTCTTATGAAAACCACAGTAAGACATACAACTGTAGAATACTATTTTGTAAGTAATGATATTCAATGTCCTGTATGCAGCCAAGAGTCCTATAAAACAAGGGAAATATGATTCATGAATCCCATGTTTGTAATGCTTTGGGATAGAGTTCTGAAATCAATCTACTGTAGGCATACATTAAGAGAGCACATCCTTAAAAATACAGGTATGTGCAATTTCTTAAAACCTGATATCACTTCTTCAAATGGACAATAGAATAAAAAGTCTCTTTAGGCCATTATGTCACTAATGTTGGCTTGATCCACTCCAGTTAAGTTCACCTCACCAGTATATATCTCCCTGCATTCATGTTTTCCTTCTTATAAATGTAGTACCGAAAAGTGATGAAAAGTGCCTTTATGCTGATGATAAATTTTGTCTGTAACCTCCACTGCAGCTAATGTCATCCTCTGTGTGAACTAAGGATGTTGGAATAACATTGTATTCTCTTGGCCTTGGATTAAACCACTTGTTGTATTGCATTCAGCCCTAACTGCACACAATATTCACTAAC